TTGTCTTTTTGAGACAGGGTCTCCCTGTAGCCCCAGCTGTCCTGGAACTCACTATGTAAACCAGGCTGGCCTTGAACTCACAGAGATCCACCTTCCTCTGCCTCCCGAGTGCTAAGATTAAAGGTGTGCACCACCACACCCAGCTCTTAAACATATTTGAAGTGTGCAATTCAGTAATGTTAAGTAAGTTCACATTCTCATGAAAAAAATCTTCAGATCTTCATCTTGAAAATTTGAAAACTGTAAAGTGACTCCTTTTGTCCCCACTCCATTCCTCCATCACTTTAAATGCTCCGTATACATGGAATCATACGGAATTTGTCATTCTCAGCTGACTTACTTATCTTCAAAGTTCATCCATGTTATACTATGTACTAGAATTTCCTTTTTAAAGCTGAATAATAGTTTGATTTGTTTACACACTGTATTTTCCTTGCAGGTATGTGTGCACGCTTGTGTGTGTGTGTGTGTGTGTGTGTGTGTGTGCGCGCGTGTGTGTGTTGTGCATGCATACCTGCTATGGCATGCATGCATGAGGGCAAAGGACAGCTTGTGGAAGTTGGTTGTTTCCTTTCACCATATGGGTCTTAGGGATTGCCTCAGGCTGTCAGACTTGCCGGCAGGGTGCTTTACCTGCTGAGCCATCCTGTTGCCCTCCATTTGTCTTTTGATGAAGATTTGAGTAACTTCTCCTCTGCTGTTTTGAGTAATGCTACTTTGAGCATGAGTCTTCAAGTATCTCTTGGCAGTCTTGCTTTCAGTTCTTCTGATATAATCACAAAAGGGATTGCTAGGTCTTTTGGTAGTCTCATTTTTGTTTTTGAGTAATTGCCATACTATTTCCATAGTTACTGTATTCCATCCCATCAACAGTGTGTAGAGTTCCAGTTTCTTCATATTGTCGATCAGTGTTTGTTTTTCTTCTAATAATAGCTATCCTAATGTGTGTGAGATACTTCATTGTAGCTTTGATTTGCATTTCTCTGGTGATTAATGATCTCCATTATATTTCCAATAGACTTATTGACTATTTGTATATCTCATTAGTTTGCCTATTTTTAAATATTGGGTTACTTGATTTTTAAAAATATGTTATTTTTTTTATTTTATGTGTATGAGTGTACTGCCTGTATGTAAGTGCACTCATGTCCTGCAGTGCCCACAGAGGTCAGAAGAGGGCATCAGATCCCTTGTAACTGGAGTTACACGTGGTTGTTAGCTGTCATGTGGGTGCTGGGAACCAAACCTGGGTCCTTTGCAAGAGCAACCAGTGCTCTTAACCACTGAGCCCTCTCCCCAGCCCCTTGATTTTTAGAGGTTCTTTATATGTTAATAGATATATGATTTACAAATACTTTCTCCCATTCTGTACATAGCTTTTTCACTGTTAACAAAAAGTTTTAAGTTTAATATTATACCATTTGTTCATTTTGTTTTGTTGCCTATACTTTTAGTGTCTTATCTCAGAAATCATTGTGAAGTCCTGAGCCCTAAAACTTGTCCCGTTTGTTTGAGTTTTAGTTGTTGTTTTGGTTTGGTTTTTGGTTTTCTTTTTTCCCCCTCGGAGTTTTATAGACTGGATCTTTATTTGGGGTTAATTTTTGACATAAGGGTCTAGTTTTCCTCTGCACAATTTGTTGAATAGATTTTCCATTCCCTATTGAAAGTGATCTTAGCTCCCCTTGTTAAAGATCATTTGACTGTATATTGAAGGATTTGTGTCTGGGCTTTGTATTTCCTTCCATTGGTCAGTTTGTCTTTATGCTAGCAAGTACAAATCATGAATGTGATTTGAAGTCTGGGAGAGAGAATCCTCTGCTCCTTTAAAAATTATTTTGACTGTTTGAGGTCCCTTGAGATTCCATGTGAATTTCAGGATGAACTTTTCTATTTTTGGGTAAAATGCTATTGGAATTTTGATAGATTTTGTTGAATCTATATGTCATCTTATGTAGTATCAACATCTTAGCAATACTAAGTCTTCCAACCCATAATCATAGAATCCTTTCATTTCTTTTTATCTTCTTTAATTTCTTTAATCAGCATTTTAGTAGTTTTTAGTGTACAAGTCTTTCTTCTGGGTTAGGAAAATCTTTATTCCTAAGATTTCTTTTCTCATAACTATTAAAAATAGAATTACTCTCTTAATTTCCTTTTTCATATTATTTTTCAGAGATTCCTGCATATAATCTTGTCATCTGTTAACAGACGTAGTTTACTTCCAACTTGAATACTTTGTTGTTGTTACCAGCTTTTCTTGTCTAATTTCTCTGGCTAGACCTTCTAGTACTATGTCACATGGAAGTGGGGGTAGAGTGTAATCATTCCTGCTTTGTTCCCAATCTTAGAGGAAAGCTTTTCACTCTTTCACTGTTGAGCATGATTTTAGTTATGGACTTTATATAAAAATGTGTATGTGCAGTGGGGGGTGCACCTTTGCGTGCCTAAGTGCAAGTGAGCATATGCACATGTGTGCAGTCAGAGGACGGCCTCAGATGTTACTCCTTGCATTCCACCTTACCTGAATTTTTTTTTTTCTCACTACTATATCTGCCAAGCTAGCTGGGCCTTGAGCACCCAGGATCTCTACCATCTTTGTCTCCCACCTCCCAGTAAGATCACAGAAGTATAGATGCTTTATGTGGGTTCTAGGGATTCAAACTCAGATTTTCAAACTTGCCTGGCAAGTGCTTTACCCACTGAAGCAACCCCCCAACCTACTTGTCACTTTCATTGCACATTGAATTTGTATGATTCATATGCATGATTGCATTCGATTTTTAATATTCTCGCATTTCAGTAACTGATTAAGTCACAATGTATTCATCCATTCTACCATTGTTTATAGTTCAGGTTATTAAAAATAATGCTGCTATAGCCTGGTGTGGGGACTCCCACCTTTAATCCCAGCACACAGGAGGCAGAGGCTGGTGGAGCTCTGTGAGTTCGGAGCCAGCCGGGTCTGCATAGTGAGTTCAAGGCCAAACAGAGTTGTATGTATTAAGACCCTGTCTCAAAAAAACCCAATAGTAATAATAATGCTGTAATCCTTCCTGTGTCTGCATACTGGAGCATAGTTGCATGAGTTTCTACCAAAATATTAGGTGATGCAATTTACCATGTTGTGTTACGCTTATGTGCAAGTTGAGACATAGTGGCAAAATTTCCCAGAGTAGTTCCATTTATGTTTTTGACCTATT